AATAAATAAATTTGTAGTTTAAAACCCTGTAAAAGTTTCTCTATACTCTTTTACAAAATGAATTAACTTCAACAAAATGTCACATTTCAACCCAGCGATGCTCTACAGCTCCAATTCACAAATTAATTAAGTTTCTATTGYTTGGCTGTCACCACACTTGCAAGCTCCTTTGGAAAAGCCAACAGAAAATAAAACTGAATAAACTCAGAGGAGCTGAAGATTTGACAAAATTGTTTCAAAAATCTGTAAAAAGAAAAGAGTAAAGAAGCAAACATTACAGTCTTGAAAACTTGAAATAAAGGAGCATTTTTATATTTCTCTAAAATGGTGTTCTTGGATAAGGTAATAAGTAATAAGTCATTTTGCTCTTCCAAATTAACTGGATTTTATTTGATGCAGCTTCATAATTCCACAATAAAAACATGACTAAGAGGTTATTTTTCAACTTTAAATGTGGTTTAAGTACGGGTTGTGTAAGGTTTTTTTTAATCCCAGCTAAAATAGTATTACAATAGGAAACAAATGGTTTATTCTATGAAAAACGGTAAATAAAAATCATATTTGGGTGACAAAAGAGGCATCAGTGACTCCTCCTGTACCCATGCTGTCACCGCAGAGGCAATGTGCATAATATACTGAATTTATCTGCATAACAGGTAAACAGAAAAAGTGCTGGATTTGCATTAACACAATGAACAGAAAATTAAAACAGCAGTTGCTTTGTTGCAGTGAATGAACCCCCATTTACCGTTTTGTTTCCGTGTCATCAGCTGTGGTGCACGTGCTGTAAGTCAGCGTGCACGGCTGCGTTTGGGCAAATTAACATTTGGCTCAGGGAATAAGTATTTTTTTTTTTGCATTTAGGGGCAACACATTTATCAGTGCATCCCCGACACCTGTCACGCTGCAGAAACGTAGATAACCCGTGTCTCTACCTGTCGCATTTTTCTTCCCCTTCCTTCTTCTATCGTCTTCTTGATCTCTCTGAATTCACTGTGGCCTCCCCCTCTCCCTCCAACGCACACCTTACTTCTCATCACCCCCTTTTCGCTCCCCCCCCTCCCCTGAGCTTGTCTGATGGCACCCTGTCAGTGAAAAGCTATTTATGATCAGCAACCAATATCCTCGCAGAGATAAACACACACTCTGAGAGACAGAGAAAACCAGAATTATTAGGGARAGAACGGGGAATGAGAGCGGCGTTATGGGGGCTAGAAAATGTGAACACCCCACCCTCCCCAAAAAAATAAAAAAAATAAAAATAAAAATAAAAAAGGAGATAGAGGAATACCAGGATATTTTCTAAGGCTTTGTGTGAGTGTGTGCTGGTCTCATTTTCACAACATAYGTGTGTGTCTGAGTGTCTCTCCTGCTCACGTCTCTGGGTTCTCCACGCTGACATACAAATGGCTTTTTTTTTATCGAAGACAATTTACTTTAGTCTGCTGGAAGTTTCCAGTCGCCCRATCGGGCCGACAACTAATCGTGCACGAGAGAACGCTTCATCACACGCTTCAAATAAGAGCGGGGTCACCGACTGTATTAAACGCACTCACACATGAAGACATTCTGCTGAGACGAGTGTCTGTTTGCATTCAGAGAGAAAARGAAAACAGCACGGGATGAGATATAGATTATAACTCTAAGAACAGCAGCATCGTTTAGGCGTTATGGCTTCATTATTGAAAACTACTTAATGTAGCACATAATGCATCGTAACTGGTGTCCAGTCGACAACTTGGAACATCTTCAAATGGATTAACAGCCATCGCAGGCAGATGTTAGGATTGTTTTACTCCTCAAAAAAAAGCACTTTCCCTCCGTCTGTAGCTTTTATTGGAAGCTAAGTAAAGTGGTCCCAGTGTTACGCTTCACGTTAGGCTGATTGGATTAAAATCAATCTTTTTTTTTTCCAACACGTAGCAACTACAACAACAACAGGATTCATCAGCTAAATTCGAACCTTTCCTCAGGAGCAGTTTTGAATTCTGGACAACAGTTTATTAATGAAGCCCTGGTCCRGTGCCTCATGTTTTGTTGCAAACCAGTCAACATCTTTTGTCTGTGTGGGGCAACATTTGTCCATGTTTAAAACAGGTCTTATGCATTCATTTAGAGGAAAACGTGATCAAGTTGATGTAATTTATTACTAGGATATACAAGGTCCACATCTCAGAGACTAGTAAGGTTTGCAACATGCTTGAAATATTTAGYAACAAGTGGAAAAACCTGCCATACTTTTGGCTTCACAAAAAAGGATCACTGCAGCCGTGTTTCCATCCAATTTTAATTCAAATTTTTGAGCGAATTTTAAAAAATTCACAAAAATGTAAAAACGAATTAATGCGAATCGGACGTGTTTCCATCAACTGGCTTGAAGCGAATCAGTTACATCAGACACGTGTGTAGTAAACAGGAAGTAAAAGTTGCATCTCAGGAAAATGGAGAGAAGTTATCAGGAACGTGCTGCTACCGTTGGGAAAGTTGTACTTATTCTGTCATCAACTAGTTCTGGTGATTTTACATGCGGTTGGGAGACGTAGAGAAAGAAATGCAATTCTTTTCACGTTACGGGATTAACTGAGAATACGCTGACAGCAGGAGGAGGGTCCAGCTGCAGTCGCTCTGGTACTGGGACCGGTTTCGGACAGACAGTGAGAACAGCTGATCAACATGTGAGGTAAATGTTTGCTACATCAGAACTGATTAGAAAAATGTGTTTCCATCTCTTTTTTGCGCATTAACTCTTTTTCGAAAAACTCAAAAACCACCTCAAGCGAGCGTATCAACTTTGATGCGAATTAGAGGATTTTTTTTGAATCAAGCCGTTTCCATTCACCTTTTCTGATGCAATACTTCAAAATGTGCATTAAAAACCTTGACACGGCTTGTGATAAGAACGTAGAATTCATCCTTAGGAGGGCCAGACGTTGAATCTAGAAAAATAAATCATCTTCAATCTTCTTTTACATTCAGAATACACAATTTTATAAATACAGAAAATAGAAGTTAAAACAATCATTTTGCAGGATAGGTGTTAGGGCTGGGTAACATAATTGTTTCATATCAGTTGATATTATTGATTCGTTTTATGTTTTACCTACCAGTCTTTGAAACAAGAACCAGGAGAAAAAAATTGGATGAATACCACCAAACTGGTGACATGACCTTTCCTCTTTTATCCACAAGTTCCTCTTGAGTTGTTGCACTTGTTTTCTCCTTTCACTCCAATTTGTGCTTTCCTTTTTTATTTTTAAGTTTTGAGGCAYGGTGGTGAAACATGAAACTGTGCATGTTACTCAACAGGTTGCWGCTAGCTGACCAGTGAGTGAGCTGGYTGATGGTACCTACCTTGCTTAAGGCCTGTCACACTATAACGTTTTAGCCAACTTATGAACATTTTTAAACATCTAGATAACTWATAAAGTTTAGATATTTGATCAATTTGTTAGCATTACAATATGTACACACCTAAGAGACTTCCAGTTGATTTTTTTAAATTCCATATTCACTGTAGATGTCTTTAAAAATTTCACAAGTTGGTATAAGTTGTCTAAAACRTTGCAGTGTGACAGGGCCTTTAGCTGGGTTGTGAGAAAGCCTTTCCTCTGTCTAAATTTCCCAGAATGCCGTGTGGTTCTGGATCAGAGTTCAGGGTAATTACCAAYGTTCTATCCGACGTATTTTCTATTGATTTTCATCACACGGTTATCACAATATATATTGTTATTGGTTTATGGCCYAGCCCTATTTAAGACCCTGTCACACTAAACAACTTATGCCAACTTATGAACATTTTAAAGACATCTACGTTGAAGATGGAACTGAAAAAATCAACAGGCAGCTTCTTTTTGGTGTGCACATAATGTAATTCTAACAAATTGATCATACAGTATATATAACTTGAAAATGTTTCATAAGTTGGCATAAGTTGTCTAGTGTGACAGGGCCTTAACATCCTTTAGCATCCCTACACACTCAGCATACGTACGTCTGTTTGAATCAGCACATCAATAGCAACATTTACTTTGTGAATTTGACGTTGAGAAGGAATCAATATAGGTGCCAATGATGTGGTGGGAAGAAACATGGCTGTCTGGGCCTATACTGCAGGGTAGGCTGTAGATTATGCCAGACAAAGATGAAGCTSTAAAGCATTCCCAGCTCCTTTCACACCAAAAAGTAATCAGTACAGGTAAAAGTCGTACATTTTCATCAGCTGCTTTTACCTGAATTACCCAGGCTTCAACAGTTAGATTTCAGTGAGTTATAACAAAGCTAAACCCATATTAATGCACTTTCATTACATTCGGATTTAAACTTCAGATGGAGATGGAGAGCATGCCAACGTTTATTCCCAGTGAAGCAAAGCTCTAAAGTCTGTGTGCTCTGTTAGATTGACTTTGTTTGTGTCTGCAGCCCTTATATTTCTCCCTTGCAGGTGAAATATGGCCGCTTTTTTTTCTTTCTTTTCCTCACTAATACCTTGTCAGGCTAGGATGCGAGCACCTCACACGCACACTCACACACACACACTCACACCTCCAGCATCAGTCTTAACAAAAACACTAAGAAATCTAAAAATCCAATATACGACCCAAATTCAATCCCCCTTTTCTCAATTCTCTGGTCTTTTTTTTTTTCTTATCTCATGAAAGGCTCATACAACTCTTCTCTTTCTTTGTATCGCTGCAGAATCATTTCTTCCTGGGACTTCCTGAAAATGACTATAATTTCCCGATACCTATTTGACAGCTGCCCCCTCCTATGTGGCATTCCTTTACCTTGCATTCATTTTATTCTGCTTTTTATGTCTTTTTTTCTCTTACCCAGTGCCCCACCATTCCTCCTCCTCTTGTCTTTTATCTTTTCAGTTCTCTGATTCATGTTGCCAATTGGGCTGTTTGCTGAAGAACATTTCACAGGAATAAAAAAAAAACGACAGAGATGTTGCAGTGTTTTTCTTTTCCGCCCTTTTCGTTCTGTTTTTATTTTCTTACTTGTTCGTCTCCTCCTCYCTCGTGCGCCCGTGTGCTTTCCTTTTAATCTTCTCTGTTTTTTTCTTCCTTCTCCTCCTTTTTTCTTTTTTTTTYYTTTTTTGGTCGCTGCAGACTTCTCTGTGAATGTTGAGTAGCGACACTTGACTCAGATGAAGGTCACGTTGGCCTAAAAAGAGAAAAAGGAGGAGAGGTGTAATGAGTGACGGGGGTGGATGGAGCTGTTTGCACAGGCGTGAGACTGACAAGGCAGCTTTAATCATTCTGATGTCTCTGTGGGAGAAGAGCTGGCACTCAGTTTTCCCCACAAACAACTACATGTACAAGCACATGCAAAATAAATAATAATAAATAAAAATAAAAAACTGAATTCCTGCACAGGAGGGAACATTTTAACCTTGACCACTTCAGAATGTGATGCAATAAAACTCCAGCGAGGACTGATTTGAACCTTAGAGTCCCTCTTCCTGCATCCCCCAAAATATTACTGGGATTTTTTATTATTGTAACCTTGACAACAAAGGATGAAGAGCAGCACYGTGTTACCTGTTTAAACAAAGAGAAAGGTGTTTTTTCCCCTCCACTATGACTGATGTCTAACCTTGTGCCACATTTTTTTTATTGTGCCTTTGACAATAAAGGCAGTCTTTTAAAATAATGTTCAAAGCTGTTGTCCTTTGCTAACTGATTATTCCACCCATGTTCAGAGAGGATGTAAACAAACCATACGTTCCTTCAGGCGGAAACAGAAAGAAAAGAAGTAAAAGAATGGAGCCCAGGAAGTGCCAGGTGTA